TGAGGTTCAAATAAGATCTTTTCAATTCACACACTGATGAAATTATGTTACTTTAATTCATCTACACTAGTCTTTTAAAATAAACACACTGATTAACAACAATGCCGATTCATTTAGGCCTAGACCTAATATAAATAAATAAGTTCCTCCTTCAAGTCCAAGATTATTACAAAGCTTCTGACTGCTGTCGTCGGGTATATTCATTTAGTTTAAGCTTATAAATAAATGAACCTTATCGCACTTTATATCATGAATTGACAATAGGGTATTCATATATAATAAAGTCACATGACATTTTTGGCAGGTTGTCTATGCAATATTGTTCAATCATGCTTACTAAAAATATAAACAAGAAAACACGTTTCTGAATTTCCGGAATTATTTTCAGTTTCGAGTTGGGGAATCTTTGTGATCGAAGCCACTAAGAATATTCAAATAAAAATGAAAAAATACCTTGTTCTCTGATCTTTATTTTAAGCTCGGAATGATGCAGGGATTTACATTGCTAATATTTCAAAATGTGACTTATCACAAGGCATTAAATTTCAATAGCGTGTGGAAAGTAAAAATATGGCGATGACATCGCGACCTATTTACGGTAATTGCGATATCTCGCTTTAAAAGGTCTGTAAAGTTTCAGATCATTGATATATTTAAGGTGATTCTTTCGATTTAAAAATCAATTTAAGAATTATAATGGAAATAATATTCAAAATGTTTGCCGAAATTCTTTGATAAATATTTACGACATCAAAAAGTACAAATTATTGATCCAAGGGAGGTAATCGTATTTATGCCTTAAAAATGAAGTAGCCTCCCTTTTACCGGCAATATCGTTTGATTGGAATTGGAGCGGAATACCGACTGCTGCAGACTCGCTATTTTTCTTTCTATTTTACCATTAAATTACCAATGTTACCATAGGCGTAGGAGCTCAAAGTAATTCAGGGGGGCATAAGAGAAAATTGCCCGAAATTAATACCGTTTTTTCGGGCATACATATCATAAGGGAGCTTCGGGCATATTTTCGGGCATGCAGTGGACAAGAAAAAGACGAGAAAATAATTTTCGGACAGTGTGGATCTCATAGAAATAAGTTAGTTATATTTTTTCTCTAAACGTTAATAGAAAAAAAAGGACGTCGAATTTTTCATTGCCCGAAAATAATTTTTTTTTTTGGGGGGGGGCGGGGGCATCCCCCCGGCTCCTACGCCTATGAATGTAACCAAAATCATTTACACAAACTTGTACTTCAGATTTTTAAATTCTCATTGAAATTTTACATATTTGTTTTTTGGGGTTGTTTTTTTTTCGCGTTTGACATAATTAATTAATAAATTATGTGTGGCGAGTTTTTGCTTGAGTTTGACTTCTGGTTTTCTGTAAGGTTGTAACGTGCTGTTCGGTTCTCTTGCATATAATATAACAAAATGAAACAAAAATATGATCTCTTATTAATCAGCTCCAACTCTTATAAAAATAGAAAACAAAAAAAGAAGAAATCGTTTGGTTGGTCTTTTATTTCAGCACCGCCTAGTTACGCTATTGATTTATTTCTCTGGATAACCTGACATTCTACTTGTGTTCTATGCGAAATTAAATGGGGTTTAACGTCCTACTTTGCTTCTCAAACCCGGATAATTAAGATGCTCCATGGAGTAAGGTTTTGCCTCACTATACAGGAGGACAGCGTGGTTTCCCTTGTCAGTAGTGCTGGACGGAGGGCATGGCAAGAGGGACAACGTATAATCGTGCAGATGGGACGAATAGCCTAGGCTAACCGAGGTCTCGTATACACGTTGACGTGCACGTAAAGGAACCCCTGGCAATTCGAATTCAATAGAGAGTGCAGAAAACGCCTCTGCCTTGGCAAAATTCCCCTCGTGGCTTCTGCATGACGTATGCCCACATTCATTAGCCAGACTGGTAGTGCCTACAGAAAAGTAGGATGTTAAATCCCATTTCATTTCTATCTGATTAAGAGCTGACAATTCTCGATATAATACTTCAAAACTAGATAATGAAAAAAGAATATGATGAAAATTTCAGTCAAATTATTTCACTCTGGGTCTAGGTATTATCGACAGAATTATAGGCTATCCTCGATCGTCACTACTACCGTTGTTACGATAACAAACAAAGCCTCGTTTATCCATTTATACCGCATCCACCAGAAAACGTATTTGAACCCACTAAACATCATAGGCATCCGATGGCATCGAGAGTTGATTAGGGTCTTGGTAAGTTAATTAATGTCTAATTAATAATTTAGATAACATTTAAGGCCTTACGAAAGGCCTGCAATATGCAGGTTTAGTTCTTGCATAATGAATGTTTAAATGTTTGTTTTGAAAGACTAAATTGGAATAGGATTATTAATTTAATTTGTGGTCACCGTTTCAATAGTGGCTTTATCTATAGACGTATTTCTTTAACGAAGATAGATTGCCACAAATCAGAGCCGTGATGGCTCAGTGAGTAAGAGGCTGGCTCGCTAACCTGAAGGTCTCGTGTTCGATCCCTGCCAAGAAAATTCATCGAGATCTTCCGTCGTGCCCCCTCCCCCCAGTGGTGTAGGACAGAGTGCCTGGCAAGTGACAACGTATAGTCGTTCGGATGGGGCAAAAAAACGAGACAGCGTGTACACATTAGCGTGTACGTAAAAGAACCCTTGTCAATTGGAATTCGAAATAAGAGTAGGCCGCAGCGCCACTGTCCGGGAAAAATTTCCCTCAGCACACCGCATGGCGTATGATGCAGATAAGTAGTATATTTCATTTGTCACAAATCAACTTGAGAATTTGTTGGGGTTTATTAAATTTTGGACCCAAATCAAAGACTTCTACTCATTTTAAGATGCCAAAGTCTAAAGTGCCATTGTCAAATGGTCGATCAATGTAATGGACGTCAGAACTTTGTCTGATCTAGTTTTAATATTGCTAATGGCTTTTCATGAAGTGTTTCTGAGACTTGCATCTCATTTTTGTCTGAAATATTCATCGTAAACTGAAACCGGTTTGAACAAACAAACGCATATCGGGTTGGTTAGCAACATAATAGTTTGGAAAGGCAGTATTTTTGTATCGAGTTAAAAGGAGATTGGTTTGATGACTGGATCGTCCAGTTATTGAAACTAAAGTTGACCTCGAGTTTTTGTTTATTTTCCAGTAGTCTAGAACAACTAGACGTTGATTGGAAGAGTTGATTAGTCGACAATGTCTATTTGATGTCAATTGATCTCAGATAAAGAGAATACGCATCTCTTGTAGTGGCTTGTAGCCAGTCAGTGGTCGATACGAAACAAGAATAGAACCAGTCAGCTTTGGACAGAAATAATGAACTGGGGTTTACCGTCCTACTGTAGTTATCCCACGATGAATAAAGGATATCGACTGTTCTTCTCACTTTGATCGACTGTTCTAACTTTGATCGGCAGTTCTTCTCACTATGATCGACTGTTCTTTTCACTATGGTCGACTGTTCTTCTCACTTTGATCGACTGTTCTTTTCACTATGATCGACTGTTCTCACTTTGATCGGCAGTTCGACTGTTCTCACTTTGATCGAATGTTCTTCTCACTTCGATCGAATGTTCTTCTCACTTCGATTGTTCGAACTTTGATCACCAGTTCTCCTCACTTTGGTCGAATGTTCTTCTCACCTTGGTCGACTGTTCTACTCATTTTGATCGATTGTTCTTCTCACTTCGATCAACTGTTCGACAGCTCAGCGAGATCACTGTTCGTCTCACCTTGCTCAACTGTTCTTCAGCCTGGTCGATTGCTTTTCGGATTAGTCGACTGTTCTTCAGTTTGATCGACTGTCCTCATACTGAAACGCTTTAAATCTCATGATCATCAACTATTTTTCTCTAGCGATGATTGGCCCATAAGACTCTGCTGATGATGATCGACATGATGATCGAATATTTTCCCAAATTGATCAACCGATCAACTGTTCTTCTGGTGTTCTTTCTATGTGGTTAGGACACTGGAGAGAGAGAGAGAGAGAAAGAGAGAGAGATATGGGGTGTAACGTCCACTAGCGCACACATTAGACCATTCGGCCACCAACCCTAGGATACCCGAATCAAGCCTAAAACCACTAAAAACAACTAGCAATTATCCTACTCTCGCAGTTACTGTGTTGATATTAAACCCCATTCATTCATTGCCGTGTGTGCATGCGTCGACGTCAAACTCCTTCTCGAAACAGAAATCGCAGTAATGAATGAACTAAAATGACTTAAAATGACATTGAAGTGTGGGAAGGTTGCTAAGGTAACGGTCTTTATTGCGGGTTAAAAGCTCCTGAAACAGCATTGATTTGGTTGGTTTAAAGGTAACGGTCTTTATTGGGGGTTAAATTCCCCTGGAGCAGCATTGATTTGGTTGATTAAAGGTAAAGGTCTTTATTGGGGGTTAAAAGCTCCTGAAACAGCATTGATTTGGTTGGTTTAAAGGTAAAGGGGTTTATTGGGGGTTAAATACTCATGAAACAGTATTGACGTATTATATAACAATTGTTCCCGACCATAGTGTATTAAATATTGACAAGTAAAACGAAACTTTGAACTATAGAAAATGAAACAATATAGGATCCTTGTTTTAATTCGACTGGAGATTAACAATCCTTCAGTTGAATATCAGAGTCTTTAACTGATGGAGGAGGTTTGGGTGGCCGAATGGTTGCATCATAAGGTCTGTCTTTGAGTCAAGTGGCGTGATTTCGATTCCCCGCTTGTACGTGACAAAGAGTCGGGTCGCCTGTTGAACATCGTGGGTTTTCTCCGGGTCCGCCGGTTTCCTCCCACTGCTAAAGATTCCTACGTGCAAGCGAATTAATTTCGGTAATTGGGGATGATTTGTGAATAGACCACCACCAGTGCAGTTGTTTAATATTCAACATAAAAAAGTCGTGAAAATATAAAATGTAATATTTGTATATTATAAGTAGACACTTGTGCATTTATAGTAAAAATGTTTGATACCACGTCGCGC